TGTGTATATGGACAAAACTGTATATGCCCCTTTGTTCTATAACATTGATTGAGTGATTAATATTTATGAAATAACTCGCCTTAAACAGGCTATAAATCCTAACGAGTTTTACAATAGGACAACAGAAAATACATTGATATGTAAATAATCCACAGAACACAACCCAGCGCATCACTCACCAAGAGTTCTGGCCACAAACAGATAAAGCAAAAACACCGATTTCATCCGCTGTTGGACGCGTGCGCTCGGGATCAGGTCCATAGTCTCAAACAGTGGTCCTCGTCCAGCAGAAGCAGCAGGAGAATGAGCAGGAGATTCAGCAGGTCTGTCCCAGCAGGTCTTTAGCTGAGCCGCTGCACGGGTCTGGTGTGAGGGAGGGGCCACAGGGAGGGACAATCACTGATCGTTCGTCTGGGACCATCAAGCGCACTTAACGTACAACACCTAAGCGGAAGTGACGACAGAAGTCAGTGTATTTTTATTAATAAATATTTTATTTTTCAACAAAACTTTCTTTCTAACCCTATTTCGGGTCGAATTCAAAAACATATAAAAGTCCCATTTTCAAGATCTCCTGAATTATTTGTTTATTTTATTGAATTATTTGATAAGGACAAGTCAATATCTATGTAACAACAACATTTATAAGCAAGAAGAATTTGCAAAAACACATTATATAATTGTGTGATTTAATAGTGCATTTTTATATATATTCAATACATAATATATTATGATCATAATAATTCAAATACGATTGAGAAATCCTTTATTTGTATGCATAAATAATAAATGATACCAATTAAAATTACAATTGTTTCATTATTATTATTGTAATTATTAGTAATAAAACAAGATTTATTTTGAGCCAGATGTGTTATAAATCAACCAGAACAGACCTATAAATTGTGTAAAAACACATCAAACTAAACAAACTAAAAGAGAACATTATTTTGAATGAAAAACCGGAGGTTATGATGTGAACTTCCAGTCGCTTGATTGACATCCCAAACTCGTAGAGATCAGGGCCCGCATTAAAAAGAGTGACTCACAACTTGGAGCGGCTTTGTGTATTTCTACAAAGGCACAAACTATAAATAGTTACTGGCTCGGTTGGCTGTGTGGTTTCTCGTGTTGTCTGGAACAAGTTGAGCTGAATGTTGTTCGGGCAGAGATGGGCGTGTCCGCGTGGGGAGGAGAGACTCGGGGTTCCCTTTTGTGTTGTCATGGGTAATCCTTTTGTTTGTCATGAATATCAATGGAATGACACAGTTAAATGGTGGCTACACGCACAAATCCCTGTAAAAACTCATTCCTCTATGTACGTTGCTATGTCTCCATGGCATGTTAACACCCAGACTCCCAGAGCAGTCAATTTGACGGGTTTCAGTTTTGGAAGTGTGACTACTCAGCGTGTGTACCTTTTTGATCTTCCTACATTTGTGACTTTTTTCTGAATCGATATGTAGTTTATTTATAGGGTCATTGTTTTTTTCCCTATAATGCTCTTTTATTTTTGAAGGGTGAGAAACGACGTATATGTTGCCATGGTAACTGCTTTGTTACCGTCAGCAGTTAGCATTAGCCTAGCCTTTCATCAGACCATTTTAGTCACCGGTTTGAGCACCCGTTAAAATTTATTAAAGAGTAAAAATAGAAAACTAATTAGATAGACTGTAAAAGTAAGAAATCGATGGGATATTTTTTCAGAATTCCTTTGGTTTGAATGGGAGCAGTCAAAATAACGGCTCAGGGAGTTCTAGTACTTTCAGAGTTCTGGGAGTCCAAGTGTTAAAGAATCTTCTGTGGTTTGGTGGTTTTGTCGTTCATGGATAATTATGGGGAAAATTCCGCGCCTATAGGCCTTACGCACTGGGGTAAATTCCAGCGCTTTTTCTCCACCACCCATTATTATTACCCGCTCCAGTCTGTTGACAAGGACTGTGGAGTGTCCCGCCCTGTGTTGCCTGAGATACTTTGCTCAGAAACATCACAAAGGAAAGACAAAGTCCAGGGGCCCACACGGGTAAATGGCCGCTTAATCAAATTGCTTTGATTAAATACATCCTTACAAGGATTTGGAGCAGCTGGCATATCTGAAGGCGCATTTCATCCAACGCTTTTGACATGCTCTGCTTTTCTTATCTTCACTAACACGGTGTCAAAGTGAAAGAATGAAAGGCCTCTCTTTTGTTAGCCCACCTCCAAGAATCCATCTGGGTCAAGGCTGAGAATGAGAAAAATATGTTGATAATAGTCCTCCCTTTCATAATTCACTTGAGTCTTACATACAGGCTGTGGAATGATAACCCATGACCTGAAGCATATACAAATGTCTACGCTTCTAAAGTACCTCGTGACGTATAGTCTGACCTACAGATATATGAATAGATTACTTTAAAATCTGCTCAACATCTGTCACATGAGGCGTTTTCATTAAATAAGTCGTGGTCACCCATAACACGTAGTTAATCAATTGTCTGGAAAGATGGATAGTACTAATAAAGGATGCAACCTTCTGTGTCGCTATGCAGTTATTCTAATGCGGTTCACTGCAAATGGCAAATACAATGAATGTTGAAATGACCAGTTTAGAGTTCGCTACGAGAATACTGACACCTAGTGGTGGAAACAAAACCGTGCCTTGACATATACAACAGAACATTATGAAATCACCTTACAGACAATTGTGTATTTTTGGCATTAATGACTCACAAACCAGGACCCTCCTGTGGACTCACCACCTGCAGAGGGTCAGTGAGGGGCTGGTGCTATGAGACTTGGGTGGCATCTCTGACTGCCACCCCCCTGACCCAGAAATGGATTAAAGGGTAGAAAATGGATGGATGGATGGATGGATGGACTCACAAACCAAGGCTATATCTGACAAATACATTACAGCACTGAGCAGATACAATAAAGTGCTCTTAATCAATTGTTCTTCTCTCCTTTGCAGAACAATATTAATGATAGAGCAACACATTAGGGAGACTAAAGTTGATTGGAGTTATGAAAGTCTGGCGCCTGCTCATGTTTTCCTGGATAAATCAGAACTTTGGGTTCATTTTTAGTACATGCTGCCAAGACCGAAGCACGAAGCACTGTGATAAGCACTTGGCTGCCATGACAACGAGAAATCTGCCGCAGGAATGGTTACGATTGGTTAAAACAATAGTTTAAAAAAAAAGATTTTAGAAAGATAAAGTTATATTTTGTCCAAACTCATATAACAAGTATTATGGACATTATACAATATTCATACATAACACTGTCATAAGTTACACAAAGAAGTGAAATAAGGTTCAGTACTCCATGTTTTCCATAAAACTTTATTTTCAGTGCATGAACAGAACACCATGTCAAGGTCATAGCGAATCATTTTCTATCCATGATAAATACTATTTTTGAATATAAAAAAATAATGGAGCATTTTGTTATACCTGTATTTTTTCTCCCTCTGCCCTCAGCGACTATTTATAAAGGTGCTGTACAATGTACAAAGATTTACATCTATCAGCCCTACATAATGTAGAAGATAAAATGAGGATTGTTTCTCTAATGACGTGATGCAAGGCCACATTATGATGCAGAGAAGGGAAACAAACGTTTCAGAACTAAAAAGCAGAAGTACAGAAGGACAGGGAGAGATATACTGTATTTACTGTTATAGAAGCCACACAGTCAGCACCTGATGATTGGATTTATCAAGTGATGAATCCATACTATTGCACTAACAGACCCCCCCCCCCACGCCACGATATAATGACTCCCCCCGCCTCCTCGTTACAATCACACCTCAGTCTGCTGATGCTCACCTCCCTGATCACATGTTGCTACTTTGTATTCCCTGAGCACTACACACACCTTTTCCATCTCATCACAATCAAGCAGTTTCAGAACATCAGTGGAGATCTATGTGCCATCAACAACAAGATTCTCATGATCATAACAGGGACCCTGACAAACCTTCAAACACAGACAAACTAAAAAACAAAAACCAAGCAAAACAAAGAAGAAAAAAGCCATATTGAAGCCATACATAAGCCAACAATGTTTTTAGCATGTCACAAAAAATATTCATTTTCACAACTCAATGCCATTTTTTATGCTACTAGGGCAGATGCAGTGCAATGGAGTTCAATAGATAGTTTAAAAGTTAGAATCTGTAAAACATGACACATTCAAATATATAATAATGTATATATTAAATTTCATGAGACACATTTTGAGCAATTGCCAACAGTTTGGTACAGCAGCTATACAGGTCATGAACTACAAAGACGCGAGGTTATTCCTACCACTTGATACATGGGAAGGATGATGTAATCTCTATGGGGTTAGGAGAAAATGTTGAGTTGATATAAAAATGTGGAATGGCTTGGTACAGCTACATGTACATATATATTAATCTATATAATCTCATTAAATTACACACAGAGTGGCTATCATACAGACGGTAAACAAGATCTCAAACCACAAGTTTCTGGTCTTTTGAATGAAACTGTCACAATTGAACAGTCTTATGAAAGTAATGCTTGCTGGATTATCTTGTGCTGGGAAAAAATAGAAGTTCAAAGCAGTAAAACAAACAGGTATCAACTACATGCATTATTAGGGCGAGCGTTCGAGAATGAAAAGTTTGCACAAGAGTCATAAACGTAAACCGTGATAGACTGTTGTCAATGGGCTGCAAGTCTAAAGTTGCATATGGGGTCATTGCATTGTAATGGGTGAAGCGCAATTGGCACATATTCACATTTCATAAGGTCTTCTCTGGCTCTACCCCGAACCCGCCAAAATCACGGGGGTGTCACGGTTCAGGCAGTAGACATGTGGCAGAAGAACGCTGCTACATGTCAAGATAAGTCTCAAAAATATATAGCAGAAATTGGTCATAGAAGAGGCACCATCATGCTCCCCTCTTGTTTTATGGAAGAACTCTGAAATAAAATCGGGTTATTATTCCATGCACAGCCCAAAGTCACGGTTTCGGCATTCAATATTCACAAAGGGTCACGAAAGACCTCCGCTTCAGAGAGGATTTTCGCTGAGCTTGGCACTTTCCATGCGCCGGGGCTAATAGGTCCCTTTGGGCTGTGTGGAGTCCCTGGAACTGCGGCGACACATTGCTCCCGACTGCCCTCTTTGAAATCGAAAGTCTCTCTCCCTTTGGACTCTCTGGGAACATCCACAGGCTTTCTCACTCTTGCTATATCCTTTAGAGACGACGACATTTCTGTTTTGATTTCTTTTCTGCTGCTGCTATCCCTGGACGTTTTCATTTTAGCATCTTTGTGCCCCGAATCTGTTCTGCTATATGCATCCCTGTGTGTATTTACGTTTTGAGCTGTCCTGTTGTGATGCGTCACTCTTCCAACCCTCCTTTTGAAACTCTCTTGCTTGTGGCCAACCATTGTCCTCTCTCCCCCTATTTTCTTTTCCATCTCTCGGGCTAATCCGCCGCTATCCAGGTTGCCGTTTCTGCTTTCTTCTAAGCTCTCTCTGCTGGAAACGTTCTTTAATCCCCTTGCTTGTCGACGGTCATTTTGCTGTAGGGTTATCACCTCCTGCTGGTTGCCCGGAGGTGACTTGTTGTGTGACATTTTAACTCTCAATCCAGTCGGGGAGGTTTTCGGTCCAACCTGTGTTACTTCCTGCGCGCCGGCTGTGGTTTTAAGACTGGGAATTCGCTCTTTGGCTTTTGGTGTATCCGTAGTTTTCTTTGGGCTGGTTAGATTACTCGCATCATTTCCTGGCCTGGTCCTGAAATAAAAAATGGCCACCTCCGTGCCTCGAGGGGACGGTTCGGCCTCGCTGTCGGCCCACTCGCCCGCCTCGTCCACAGAAGTCAGAGGCCTGGAGTTGCTAATACGCGAGCTGCTAAGGCCTGGTAGATTAACATTGGTGCTCCAGTTGCGAGAATGCTTGCGTTTACCGGAGAGATGGGAGGAAGCGTAGACGGAAGCCCCAGATGAGGAATATGGAGAGGACATGGGCGAGGAGTCGGAGAAAAACACATCTCCTTCGGAATAGCTGACGCCAGGTGAAATGACTTTTGGATTGTGTGGACCTTGAAAAAAGCACATTGAAAGTTAGTTTACAAGTTGAGTTGATGACTGTAAACTGATCAGCCATAACATTATGACCCCCACTGGGACTTGTATGTTGTGTGAGGTTGGGGGAACTGAAAATGGACTTATATCTCACTTTTGTCAGCTTCATTGAGTATGTTTACAAAGCACAGGTGAAAAACAAGATCACTTGCCCAGACTTATTCACCCTTGCTGTGTGAAGGAGAGGTTCTGTAGGCGTTTCATTCCTGCTGCTGTCAGACTGTACAATGAGAACTGCTGAGCCTGAACATGTCGTTTGTCTGTAAATAGTTAATGCTGTAATCTTGTGCAAAGTGCAATACTGCAACTTCAGAATGTTGACTGAATAAAGGATCTCGCATCTCAGTCCAATTTCATTCGATTGATCAAGACGCATGGAAACCCAGGGCCATTTGCTCGGATGAAGGTGTGAAAAACCAGTCCATTTTGCGGAACTGGATCAAACCATTTCTACCGCGGTTACCAAGGCACATGGCACAATTCACTTATTGAGACACGGGCAGTAGAAGCATTTAGGAGCTACTCATTTTGTTCAATGGGATGAATACACAGCATTTTGATGATTGTTTTAGTTTGCTTGGTATGATAAACGCAAGGTGCATGATGGAATTAATTGCAAAATAAAAAAAGGTGTAGTTTTATTACTGTATAAACAAAAAGTGTGCTTATACAGTTACAATTATAGCTACAAAAGTAAACTGAGACTTTAAAGTGGTCGAAACCGGTCTGGAACCAACGCTGATTAGAGTCAATTTTAAAAAACTCTTTAAAAGTATTGTATGTTCTTGTGCTTTGTAAACATAGTCAATGCTCTTACGTACGATAAAACCATGAAGTGACAACTCTTAAGGTGCAGAAGATAATATTGTCTAATTGAGAAAACACTATTACAAATAAATATACAATGTAAAAAATGCTTGCATCAAGTGTTTTTCCTCTTCAATCTGACTGTCTAAAAACAAGATTTGCCAAAGGGACAAAGCCATTTTGTCTCATTTCAAGAACTGTTGCTTTATTTACTCATTCCAAAGGAGACATTTCTTGTGTCCCTTCTTTTTAAAACAAGATAATTTGACTTGTCCCATTGTCATATTTATTTATTAAACTTATTTTCCATCACCTTTTGCAGCTTACACACTTTTTAAAAGGAATGTATGTAGAACCTTCTATTTTCAACACTACTATGATTAATGACATAGTATGATTATTACTAACTAAGTAAATGGTGATGAGGAGAGGTCATAATGTCACGAATGGTCAGTGAAGAGTTGTGAGAGAAAGAACAGAGACCCAGAATTACCATGGTAAAGAGAAGAGGCCAGTGAAAGCAGTGAGGATGTTAGTGTTGGTGCTCAGTGTAGTAGCACAGAGTAGAGGAAGAGCTACCTGCAGGTCAAACAAGATAAGCCAAAACACCATTAGACATTAAGTCACAGATCAACAGTTACCACGATACAAAGTTAAACAGTACAAATAACTATAATTCATGACCGATAAGGAAGTCTAGTCTTGTGTGTTTACAAAGGGAATAACGTAATCATATTCAACCAGGTCTGTGTTGGAAAGTATTTTTAATGCATTGTTATAATGAGTATTTCATCAACACGGACTCCTAGAGTTAGAACTCTCCTTTTGACTGCTCCCATTCTCCCATTCAAACCGAAGCAATTCTGTGAATTCTGTTCCCTCTGGAGAGGAATCCCTCTGGATTTCTTTTGCAAAAAGTAAACATGGAGACAGAAAAAGTTCAGAAGGTGTAACAAAAGGTAAATTAAAAGCCGTCAATTGGACTGCTCTGGGAGTCTCTACAAATTATATTATTCACTAATGTTAAAACCGGGAACACCTTTGTTTAGCAAAAGACAGTTATTTTGGCTACAAAGGGCCTGGGATCAAAGGGTACTTGGTTCTTGGTCCCGCGGTGATTGGAGTAATAATATATCAATTGCATTCTCAACACTTAAATTCAAAAGCTGTACTTCACAGATGTTTTTTTCTTCTTCTTCCTGTTGTTACCGCTCTTTGTGAGCTGAATGGATGTGCTGTGCTATCTATTAAAATTGTTTGTCTGTTTTTATTGTCCCTCTCATGTGCAATTTCTCTATTTTGAGGCACATTCCGTGATTAGATTCCCCCCCTCGCAATTGTACTCAGCATCTACCTCATTTCATTTCCATTGTGTCCATTTTCCATTTCAAAATTATCAGAGGGGGAAATGCTGTGTTCCGTTGATGCACAATGAGCACTGCTTCATATTTTTCTAATTTCTTACTCTGGTTTATGATGAATAGAGGAGGCTAAAGACAGACAAAGCCATTGGTACATGACCATTTGGATTTGAATGTTCTTATGAATCTCCAAAGTTAGGTAGTAGTTAAAGTGTGAGGCCATATGAGCGACACTTACTGCTGTCTTGAGTGAGGCCAGCCCTGGGTCTAAGCAACAGGACCACTTTGTTTCCTCCAGACTGGATCAGCTCGATGGCCCGAGTGTGGGAGATGCCCCGAGCAGGCTCACCGTTTATCTCCACGATCTCATCTCCAACCTGTGGGCAGCACACAGAAAAACAAGAATAATACCAGTGCATAGAAAACAAGAATAATACCAGCGCATAGAAAACAACAATAATACCAGCGCACAGAAAACAAGAATAACACTTTCAAGAAATTCTTTTGTTCCTTGTCCCAGCTATAAGACTGTACAACGGTTGGTTAGAAACGTTTAGAATGCATGTACTTGTGTATGAATGGATATGTATTTGCTGGTGAACACATGCATTTTTTATTTTATTTCATTTATTTTATATTGCACTATACACAGGATATAATCATGGAATTTACAGCAATTACATACTAAAAATGTTTCATACATTGGGATGAATAAAGAATCTATTGCAAAAAACAAAAAACCTGAACCTTACATAGCAAGATGTTTTATGACTCAGATAATTCTGTAATCAATGCAGAAAATGGAAATGTGTATTTTAAATCAAACAAGACATCTCTATGAAGATGTTCTCCAGGGGCATCACTTGTTTCAATTAAATATATACAAATCCCATGAATACTGATTTTTTGGGATCCAAACCACTAATCGATTAAGCAAAATAATAATCTGCCAACTTTATGATTATCAGAATAATCATTGATTAGAGTATGTGTACATAAGTGAAGTGTGTGCAGTCATGCCTTGGTAAAATTAAGTTTGTAATGATAAAGAGACAAAAAAGAGATTTCCATGAAAAAATAAATCTAAAACTAACGGCACTAACCATAAAGACACTCATACATCAGCGTGAGTTATGATGCTTAACGAGAAATGGACATTATGACATTGTGATAAACACTGGATAAAGTCTGTCACTCTTCTCAGCTGGAATAGTTGTTGGCGTGCTCTGCTCTTTGGGCAATGTCATGCACCGATATCACACTCTACAAATCTGATTCATGCTGCAGGCCACTGTGCTGCATCCTTTCTACACTAACGATCATTATGATGTGATAAACTCATCCCTCAACGTGTTGTCTAATTTACCAAGGACAACATCACTGTGGATTTGTCATCCATCCAAAAATCAAAACAGAAAAGTCGGTCATCACAAAAAACCCCATGAACATAATTACAATCCTGGTTGGTTATTCTATAGAAACTGGATGCATAAGATTATAAAAACATGATTTTACACTAAATAAGCCTTTGGTTTCAGATGGAAGGCCAATGAAGAAGAATGGCTACATGATTCGAGGACACTCTCTATACTGGGCTCTAGCTTCACACAAACATATCCTTTCACTTCTGCCTCCATTAGAGCGTAATCCAATCACCAGGGTTTGTTTGTGTGTCTGTTAGTTAGTTCAAAAAGTTGGGTTAGGGTTAGGAATTTTCAACAACATTTGAGAGAAATATAGTGATCCAGATCCCGCCTGGATTGAAATGTCTCTTTATGGAAGCTTTTTTAAAAACCTGCTTGAATAAATGCAAATAAATAAAAATGTCAAAAAAACATTTAATGTTGGAATTTTTGGACCATAAGCAGCTACTTTTTTCTCGTTCTTTGACCCCTGCTGTTTACATAGCTATGAGTCTAATATGTGTTTTTGTTTTATTGTAGTAGAGTTGGGCTTTTGGCAGAGCAGAGACTTTATGGACTTATTATTTTGACTCCAAAAAGTTTTAGTAGCTGTGGGACACATTTGTTTATTGTCAAAAACAGACTGGTGAATGAGCTATGGAAGCTAACAGTGAATCTGTTAAACACTCCGTCATTAAAGAATCAGAATCAGAATCATTTTTATTGCCACATAACTAACAGGAAGTCACAGACTTGGAAATTGCGTTGGCTCGGTGCAACAGTCAGAAAGAGATAATAAAAAATAAATAATAAAAAACACTTCTAAGGAATAAATTTAAATTTAAAATAGAGTTACCGTTACTATTTACAATAGACAAGTGCACATGCTGCACACAATGTAAGGTGACAGCAGTACAGTGAAGTAAAGTGACGTATGATGGGCAGTAAAGTGACTTTATAAAGGGCGGGGGGACAGGTTAAGAAGTGTTCAAGAGTCCAACAGCAGAGGGGAAGAAACTGTTTTTGTGGCGGGAGGTTCTAGTCCTGATGGGCCACAGTCTCCTGCCTGAAGGGAGTGGTTGGAATAGTCCATGTGCAGGGTGAGAGGGGTCGGCTGTGATACGACCAGCCCGGCCTCGAGCTCGGGCGACGTACAGGTCCTGCAGCGATGGAAGGCTGCGGCCGATCACTTCCTCTGCAGAGCGCACAATGCGCTGTAGTCTCTGTTTGTCCCTGACTGTGGCTCCAGCGAACCACACGGTGATGGAGGAGGTGAGGATGGACTCGATGATGGCCGTGTAGAACTGCACCAACATCTGTGCAGGCAGCTTGGCTTTCCTGAGCTGCCGCAGGAAGTACATCCTCTGCTGGGCCTTCTTGATGAGGGAGCTGATGGTCGGCTCCCACTTGAGGTCCTGGGTGATGGTGGTGCCCAGGAAACGGAAGGACTCCACAGAGGTGATGGGGGAGTCCATCACGGAGGGTGGGGGTGGGGGGACAGTGCTCTTCCTGAAGTCCACAATCATCTCCACTGTCTTCTGGGCGTTCAGCTCCAGGTTGTTACCACTGCACCAGGACACCAGCCGGTCCACCTCCCTCCTGTAGGCGGACTCATCGTTGTTGGAGATGAGTCCAATGAGGGTGGTGTCGTCCGCGAACTTGATCAGCTTCACGGAGTCGTGGCTGGAGGTGCAGTGGTTGGTGTACAGGGAGAAGAGCAGGGGTGAAAGAACACAGCCCTGTGGGGCTCCTGTATTTATAATCCGAGAGTCCGAGACATTCTTCCCCAGACGCACTCGCTGCTTCCTGTCTGTCAGGAAGTCAGCACGTTATAACTGTGGACGATGTGTAATTATTTTTTTTAATGTTGCGGGTGTGGCATACTGTATATACGAGCCTAATAGTCCCGAAATCACAATGTATTGTTGTTAATTCTGGTTTTATTCCATCCATTGGCAAAGTAATAATTCATGTTGTATTTGGCGTTTCTCAGCTGTTGTAAAAAACCTTAATAGCAGTAAAAAATAAATAAACAATCACACTTTTCAACAACGAAAGTGCTTTTTAAACCCATTCCATTAGCTCCGCTTTCATGGCTCTCAGAACAAGTTAGCAAAATCCAGCACGGTGGCTGAGTGGATAGCACTCTCGCCTCTCAGCAAGAAGGTCCTGGGTTCGAATCCCGGCCGGACCAGGGCCTTTCTGAGTGGAGTTTGCATGTTCTCCCCGTGTCTGCGTAGGTTTCCTCCGGGTACTCCGGTTTCCCCTACCACTAAAAATATGTCCAATAGTTCTGGCATGCGCCTCCTGTACTGGCGACCCCGCTCCCATCTCTGTGTGGAGTGAGAGACAAATGCCCAAAATTAACAATTGTAAACCGCTTTGAGACTCAGATCTGCAGTGAAAAGGTGGTATATAAATAAAAACTTACTTACTTACATTTATATTTGATGTTATTATAGCGGCCGACGGACTGCTTGTTATAACGTGAATCAAAACAATGGATGCAAAGTATTCTTGACCTTAACAAATAACTCTAAGCGTACCCTTTATAGATATTCTTTACGGGAAATCCTTCTTGGAGCTGTGGGTTAATGATTTCCTCTGTTCAAAGGCCTCTGGGGGCCGCACACCACTCTGTGGTGCTTTATCAGGCTTTAATCTTCTGCTTCTCCTACAACTAAAACTGTACAGCTCAGATCCCCAGTGAAAGCGAGCTAGTATATATTATGCAGCTTAAGAAACTTTGCAGCAGATGCGTGCTGCAATTAGCATGCTGCAGAAGTGGGCTGTATTTGCATATTAATAAGAAGTATATATAGTGCAAATAAGAATGTATCGGTTTTATATAGCACTTTTTATGGACACTCAAAGATGCTTCACAAGGCAATATTCATTAATTTTCTTTTTTTCACCTTTTTTTATTTGAGCTATTTACATTCTTGCATTAGGACAACTTTACAAGCATTTACGTTAATTTAAATTCTTGGTTCAAGCTCTAAAGGAGAAAGCTGAAGCAAGAAAAGGTAAGCACTTCATAAACAGTGGTTAGAAACTTCTACTGTTGCCAGAGCTGCCCTGGGTCACACTGACAGAATCGAGGCAACCAGTATGGGCCATCTGCTCCTCTGGCCACCACCAACCATTCACACACGCATCAGTCTCATTCTAGGCAATGTGGTTGAAGGCAAGGCAAGTATATTTGTATAGCACCATTTATACACAAGGCAACTCAAAGTGCTGAAAAATGTAATATAGAGACACACACACAGGCCATTAAAATTTAGTAAGAGTAAAGATAAAATCCCTTAGTTGTATGCACAGCTAAAGAGAGCAATTTTTAACCTGGATTTGAACCTTGTCAGGATAACTTCTGCCTCCCCATGTTTGGTTCTGACTCTGGGTACCAGCAGAAGGTCAGTCCCTGTGTGTGTTTGGTACTATACAGCCAGCAGCATGTGTTCCCAAAGGTCTCCCATCACAGTACTAACCTCCCCCTGCCCTGCTTAGCTCCACAGGACTCACACAATTTGGCATTCACATGCAGGTATGGCCACATGATTACAAAGTGAAAAGTCTATTGAGGCCTCAGCTAAAAAACAAAAAATACCGACCAAAGCCCCAACATCAGCAATGATAATAATACAAAAAACTTAACTTGTCACTTACATGGATTCTTCCGTCCACTTGAGCCGGTCCGTCCTCCGCCAGCCTCAGAATGAACAGCCCCATGTTGTACTCTGTGCCTCCTCTGAGACTGAAGCCGAATCCCCTGGGTCCGCGCTCCAGCTCGATGGTCATACAGTCCTGCAGACACCCAGAACAGCAACACCGCTTTAAGTAAGATAGACTTTTATAACAAACTGATACATGTTGTTTTTTATATTAATGAATGTGTTTAATGGTTTCCTCAACTATTTGGTAGGAAACCTTTTGATTCATTATATAATCGACTTGAAGCTTGGAACTGAATTATACGTCTTTGGGGCATCTCACTTTGTTTTAAGCACTTTTACAATCAAACTGCATCTGAACTATAGAGAGGTAGAGGCCTATAATAAAAACAAAAACTAGAAAAAAAGAAAAAAGAATCATTTTGATTAAGGAGGGAACATTAAAGGATTAAGTTCAGTCTTAAGTACAATCCTGGTTGACTTAGCAAGCTATTTATTTTATTTATTTATTCATTTGAACAGTATTATTACTGCACAAAAGGAGTGGGCTGCAGCAAAAAGCGTATTACTTTCTGCGTGTTTAAGTAAAGTAAGGGTTAAGGTGCACTGTATTCATACCACTAGAGCGTCTATCAGGAGCAGTGGCCATCGTAGGACAGCGCCCAGGGACCCATCTCCAGATGTTGATGCCTGGCTTGGTCAGGATTTACCTATTGTGCATGTGTTGATATCGACTAAATTAGGCCATGGGAGGTAACCTTTAGACAGAGGCCGGGACTTTGGTGAAGTCTCTGAGCATATTCAGCAAGTAAATCCATTTCTGTATCTGATTGTGTGGCGTTGTCTAGGTGAACTTTTATTAGAATCAGTATTTCACAGTTTTGGTCCTTCAGACACAAAGATACGAAATATAACTATGTCAACAGAGCGGACTGCTGGGAATCAATAGGATAACATAGAGATGAGAATAGGAAAGAGGTCTATAATCATGTGACCAAGTTGTTCAAGAATAAGTGTATGAGGATAAATCTGATGCCTCATCCCCACTGCTCAAAAACACAATTATTATAAAACCACATGTGTCGATGTGGAAGTTTGTTTTGATACATTTATTCACATTCCCGTCTTTTGTGTGGTGAAAAGCCAAAACAGCCCAAACTATAGGGAAGCCTGTAGTCCCATGACGACACAGCGACCTCGAATAAAGTTTAAATCAAGTTTTAAGGTATCAATTCATGTTTAAGTCAAAATTTAAGTTGAGACTTAAAGCATACTTTTGTATCCTCTCAGTGGGAACAAATATATTGGAAACCAGCAAAAATTGGACGTTCCATGAGGAAAGGTTCACTGGTTCACTGGGCACTGTTGTTGGTAAAAGCAGCTGGGAGCAGAGTGTGTAGAAGAAGACAGTTTGCCATTGTTCCTAAAACCCATTATGCACATTATGCCTTGAACATTGTCTACTCGTTGAGAAAATGAAGAGGCTCTTATCGCTACTGTGAAAAAGCAGCGTCTGCAATGGCCCTGAACAAGATGCACATCTTCAAGTTGGTTGGAAAATGAGATGAAAGGAAGCTCTGAAGAATAAGTACATCATCACGATGTTTACAAGAGATGCATTGAACCTCTACATACTACGTTAGATAATGCAAGGGGATAAAGGCTAGAATTTAAAGGTTTTTATTTGGATTCAAGAACATTCAAGCCATTTAGTCAAGTGCAGTATTTCTTATTCCAAAGGGGAACTTTCTTGTACATTATTCTATTTTAAAAACCGAACATATTTCCTTCCAAATCTTGTTTTAAGATCAAAATGTACTCAAAATTGAAATACATTTGACCTAATCTTTCAGCTTTAAGCCAAGATAAATTTCAAATTATAATAATTAATATTATTTAAAAAAACAAAAAAACATTGGTTTTGTATTGGTATTTTTTGACTTTTTTTAGCCTCCGAATCAAGCCTCTATTAGGCTCTGCACTACATGAAAACTGAACAAAGAATTCTGAACATCCGAGTTACCCATTTATATACTGAACCTATATCTATAATCAGATCCTCTGCAGATGTGTCCTATAATGTGCAATTCATAATAATAGCACTTCCTGGTTTGCTGCGATCGCTTTTTTTGTGCATAAAAACATTATTTTTTTCATTAAAACGTTCACAAATAATTCTGAAAACCTCCGTGCATGTGTATTAATAATGTACATGTATAATGTGTTCTCTGATTAACATTTCAAAGTGTTACGGAAACGTAGGCGTAGACCAGGAAGGGGGAGGGAGCTTGCATCGTTTTTTTCAAATCAAGTACCTCTCTGTCTCTCTTTCTGACAAACTCCAGACAATCACTTTAACTTACCTTAGCTTGATTCTTTCATCTTATTTTATAAATAGCAATTTTCCAATTACAACATATACATGCAAAGGAATATATTAGAAATTGCATTCTTGTGTCACGTTCACCAATGATTTCATTCCTACAGATATTCTATAGCGTTTTTCACTTCTTTCACAGGTGAAGTCAGTTGGCCTTCACACATCTGCCACAGTAACGGTTAGATGAGGTGATGCAGTTACCTGGTTTGGACCCGTAATGCAGAGCGCCCCCTGCTCTTTCTGATCTGACCAGGAGAGGCTGTCAATTTTATCCTCCAAGTCCAAGGTGGAACTGGGAACAAATAACACAAATGTCCTTACTGTATGTTATCTTATGCTTATTCTAACAAAACACACTATGCCGCAAGCGTGAAAGAAAACCTTGGGTAAAGAAAGGTAGGTGCCAGAGCGATAATAATATTAAACAGTGTGTTTTATTGTTTCCTCACTCCTCACTTTCCTGTGCCTTCCTCAGGTAAACACAGCCTTGCTCAAAGCACTAACACTGGAACATAACTGAGTCACCAAACACATCCATCCAAGGTAAACAATTAAAGATAAAATATGAGGTTTGGATATTTCATCAAAAGTGCCTGATTCACTCTCTTCACAGGTTTTAGGGCAAAGTAGAATAAGCTTTGACACCTCCATCACAGGTACAGAATCCGACAACTTTTCAAAGCAAATGTCATCTTTTCATTAGCACCACAGAAATTTGCTTTCGTATTTCTATCTTCTCAGGTGTCTCACAAACTACCTAACAACATGGCACATCCTTCAGACCAGTACTCACCCGTGGAGCAGGCTTCTGTGCTGCAGAGCCGGACTCTGTTTGGCTGAGCTCGCTCCTGATGGAGGTCCTTTGTATTCTGAGGGTGAAAGCACAAGATAATTCAAATCTATCTATCTATCTATCCATCTATCTATCCATTTATCTATCTACTCACCATCCTCTGGTATGACAGTCAGAGTGACCACGTGTCCCGCCTCCTTGATGAGCAGAACGATGTCGCTGTGTGAGAGCTCGATGATGGAGCGTCCGTTGACCGCAGAGATCCGGTCCCCGACGTGGAGCAGGCCGCAGCGGTCAGTGGGGCTGCCCTCGATTATGCGCCCAATTTTGTGTGGTATGACTGGGAAGCAAGCAGACACTGGAATCAATAGGTTAACCCTTTATTGTTCACACTTTGACAGAAGCAATCTGCATCTCAACAAAACGATTGAGAGGCAGATTGATTGTAAAAGTGTCTAATACATAGATATACATGTGTTATGGGTTATGGCAAATAAATGTAACCTGCCCGTTCCAGTCTATTTTGACCCGGGGTCACACTCAGTCCTGACCACTAAAAAGAAAGAAGTATCACTCTAATACTATACGTTTGTGCTTTCAGAACCATATCATTTTATGGCCCCAAAGAAAAAGAAAAACTAGCTTGTTTTTAATCATAATATACTAAATATGAAATCCATAGATAATAATGTTTTTTGATTATAATAGAACAATATTAGAATATAACTTGAAGTAGTTTAACATATATAAATATATAATTTATAGTTATATTGGTGGTGCTATAGATTGGTATTGATTTGTTAGTAAAAAGAGCCTTTGTTCTTCAGAATTCAGAATTTGTTTTCAGAAATCCCTAGTTCTCTGAAAGTTTTCTGGAGTTTGGTCTGAAAAGCTCTAAGGCAGTCTTTATGTCTTGGATCTGTGACTTTGCAAATTGAGTGGGTCCAGGGCTCATTTTTACAATGTTTGCTGATGTTGCTCTGCCTTCATTTTCATACGAGTTTGAGATCAAACCTTTCCCATTGTTTGTTACAAAGCTCTGTTCTAGATCCTTCAGTCACTTCTTCATCTGAATCTGATGTTTCTTCATCTTGATTTTGATCATCCAGTGCTACAAGGGCCTCTGTCGACGTATTACAGCGTCCTTGGTCCCATCTCCTGATGTTGATTCTCTTGATCAGGACTGTCAGAGCTCGAGGATTTTACCTGTCATGCTGGTTTTTAGTGGTAGGGGAAACTGGAGCACCTGGAGGAAACTGTAGCACCCGGAGGAAACCTACACAGTCACGGGGAGAACAAATCCACTCAAAATGGCCTCTTTCAGTCCAGGATTTGAACCCAGGACCTTCTTTCTGAGACGCAAGGGGTTGTCTGTGTATGTGTGCGCAAAAAGGTGTCAACAAGGGTCACGCACTACTGTGAGAAAAGATTTGTTCTCTTGGAGGAAGGAGGTGGGATCAGATAATGTACACATTTTATTTCTAAATTGTAGAACAGTTTTGTTGTGTTTATAAATGTGCTGTGGAGGATAATCATAAAGCCTTGTTCTAATGCATTCCTCTCTATGTTAGTTACTACATGTTACTACATATCATAACATTGAAAGGGGTCACTGGAGACCCTCGCACCACAAAAGGGTTAATACCAGTGGGGGCAGGTCCCAGCTCAAAAGTGGCCAAAATGACGTGCGCTGACATGCTTGCAATACCACCCCGGGCCGATGGGGGTGGACCCAGAAGAAGAATTAGCCAATGCTAACATATAGTATTGGCAGACCTCTCAAAAACGTCTTTACAGGATGGACCAAAAGTTGGCTCTTGGCCCGAACCACATGTTGACCACATGTGTGTCAATGCTGAGGGGGGTGGATGTTTTTGGTCCACTCTAGTTTACTTGCTGTGAATTTTTGAAGTCTCTCGTTCAAATGAATGGAGCTGCGCCGGCTGACGCATGCGCGGATGCGTTTTTAAAAAAATTTTTTGTGGGCGGGACCACTCGCGGCTATCTTGGATTGCTCCATGAAAGCACTTTTCATGGTCAACTCCTATGAACGGAGATAGGCGTGACTCTGTCCGTTATTATATACAGTCTATGGTCCTACATATCTGCTGTAAAAAAAAAACTCATTTAGATACCATTTTTGTACTTGTATAACATTCTATATATAGGTGATCGTAAAGTAACGTAACAATATAAAATAAAATAAAAAGGATAATCCAAAGCTGGACTACATCACAAGAAATTATGAATTCAAAGAACACACCAATTATAGCATTCTCTGATTCAAAAAAAAAAAAATGCAGAGACGTAATTACGACTCATACCAATGTGATTGATGTGGAACAGTCATTAACTCCTACATAAAGCAACAGGAAATGCCTGAATGAATGGAATATATTTCTGCTGACTGTACTTTTGGTTTAGTATTGTAGATAAATACACCACTTAAAAGTGTCTGTTGAATTAATTCCAGAGTAATTTTTTTACACATGCATTCACATTATGTATATACTGTATATATATTCGAACACACACTACAAACCCACAAACCCAAACTTAAATTATTTATAAAGCAAATTCTTTAATTCTGAATGTGCCTGATTTATCATGACATAAAGTAAATACATATATTTACATTTCCAACCTACTGGTGGAGAATATCACATGTATGGGTTATTTTTATTTATATTTTTTTTCTGTTGGTCTTATGTGAATTAAAGAATGTGATATTATCAAATGAGAATCTGATAATATCCCCAGCGATATTTGACAGCAAATTCAATACACATAGATCAAAGTGGAAAGAAGTTAGTACTTGACTCGATGCCAATTCATCTTTTGCTAAATCATTGTTCAGCTTTTAACCACAGTTTTTCTAAGAGCAGCTCCATCCACGCACGCTTCAGGAACAAAGCAAAAATCCACACAATTTGACACAAATCAAAACAAACCTGAAAAACCAATCACAGCACCTCATTGGTTTTTCAATGTCAGCGCCAATGTTCACAGCAGTTGTGTCGTTTCTAAATTTAATTCCTAAGTTTCTTCTGTACAATTCTTCCAACTGAATGCCTAAATCCAGAATGAACTCTGCAAATATTTAGTCCTTATATTTTCCTCTTTAAAAAGTTACTGGGTTCAGAACTGTCAAGTCACAACAATTGGATCTAAAAGTTCCTCGCTCTCAAAACCATTTAGTTCTATATACTTTTCACAAGCACATTATTTTTTTGGCCTTTGTGTCATCTCTAGATTGTCTGAAAAAGAAAAGGACTTTCTGTAAGCACTAAGTTCTGTCTGTTAGGACAAACCACATGTTTTATGAAATATAAGGAATGCTTCATCCTTTTGATACATGACTTGTCAAAGTGAAGCTGTTTGGCTAAAGTTAACATAATGCATTTGTTTGTTTGTTTAAAGCTCCCTTTCAAACCAATGGTCATCTGAGAAATTCCTACATAAAATGTTTTGTTTTTTGTTTTTACCAGATTCATTCAAATAAGTCATTTATAAGGTTTTTCATAAGCGCTTAAACTGGTCATTATAACTGAAACTGAAATACAGCCGAAAAAAGGCTAGTGCTAACTTTGTACATTAAACAGTGTGTTGCTACGGTAACTCACACTTGATATTGTCTTATTGAAAATGAGTTTAAGGTAGAACTCCTCACATAATTTCATAAACAAAATAATGCCAGAAAAAAACTACATGTTATAGATAAGATGTTTTAATTATTATTATATGTTTTATTATTGTTAATTGTGACTTTTTTGACAACTTGTTTGCATTGAGAGCCAAAGCAATTTCCAAAGTTGTATAATAATAATAAAAATAATTCTGATTGTGATTCTGATAAAGATTCATAAAAAGTATTTGTGACTTTTTGAAGACCAAGACAAAACTAAAAGCAGTCAAATTGACTACTGTGTTAATGGGCTGTAGTTTAGTGTGCGCGTGGCTCACCTCCGTGCGGCGGTTTGCTCTTGGACGTGAGGATGACGAAGCCGAAGCCCTCAGACTCTCTCCGGTGCAGCGTGATGTCAAAGGACTCGTGGTCGATGGCGTTGGTCATGGGCAGGTGAGGTAGTTTGGGAGAGCCGTTCACCAGCACCGGAGTCATGTCCCGCAGCTCCTCCTCTGTGGCGTCTGACGAGACAGAACTGTTCATTTCACACGTCTCGGCGCCTGTGCACACTGTTAAAGCTCGCCGTATGGTCGCAAGTCTGTGTGGTTATCCAAAACAGACGGCCGTCCAGATCTGATGCTATGTCTGAGAGTTGCTAGTCATTTGTTCTGAGTCAAATCCGTCTCTTTTTCACTGAGCAGCTTTTACAATCTTGTGCTCGGATTTGAGAAAAAACACAGTTAACACAATGATATTTTCAGATGATCAAATGTCATCTCATTTTAAGGGTTCCAGGGACAACAGGGTCTCAGCTGATGACAGGGCGGCTTTGCAACGGTCCATACCAGGGGCCTCCAAACCTATCCCTTGGAGAGCTACATTTTTCAGCACAAAAGTGTAAGAGAGCTACTCCTTTTATAAATTTGGCATACTGTTGTGCTACAATGCATTAAGACGTTTTTGTCTTGATTAGAATTTTTTTAAAACATTGGAACAACCAGTTCAAACTGGCAACCCGAAAAGTCACTCAAGTGATCCTGATTCCACTTTCTGATTGGACAATAGTGAACCCAAATGTAAAGTGCAAACATAATGTGGACATCTTATCCATTACTTTTGTAATTAATATATCTGCATTAGAATTTTGATCAAGAAGGACACGTGATATCTACATAATGCTGTTGTGGACGCAGATTCAAAAATAGTTTCAATTTAAAGTGAAAGCATTACTTGGAGAATATATAAAATAGATTCTACAATATTATCAAATACAGGTACATTCCAGGAGACCCAAGCCCGTGTACCTTAACAGATGGAAATTAGCCTTTGTTTAAATTCATGTTTTTAGTGTGTCTGTTCATTGACATGCACTGTCCCATTCAAATAAATAAATAAATGAAACCCACCGAACAGAACAAGATACATGTTCATAAACTTCAGAAGATGTGTTTTTGGCCGCACCTCTGTAGACGATCTTGCGGCGCACAGTGAGTAGCACGTGGCCGTTGCGCGCCGCATTGGTCATCAGATCCAGGACCTGTTTGTGAGAGCGGCCCTTCACCATCACGCCATCGATGCCGATGAGCTCATCGGCCGCACGCAGCCGTCCGTCCTTCTCTGCAGCGCCGTTCGGGACAATGGCCCCGATGTAAACCTGCGGGAACACATTCTACACAACACAAATGTAATCGAGTTAATATTAGTGCCGTCAAATATTCAAATATTTAATCGCGATTATTGTCCAATCTAGGCAACTCAGTATTTGCTTTGGTTATTGCTTTTTACAGTGAATAGAACTAATAAACAATAGAAATGACTTGAATTGTTTCATAAAAGCTTCTCTTCTGTTTTTATTTATTGTTTTTTACAGTGTATATAACTATCACCGCAGTGGAAATAACTAAAGCTTCAACGTTTGGGCTGGAGGTAGATGTGACTGATTGACGTAATCAGTAAGTCAATGATCAGCAAAAAGTGCGACTGATTTTGTTTTCTTGCGCCTGTAACCTTTTTTGAAGCGGAATTGCGCCTCTCCGCTTTCCGCCGCGGTGCACTTAGGAGGCAGCAGGGCGGAAGTCTGATACGTGCCTGTGGTAGAAGCCTGGAGCACAAGCAAGCTGACGTGTGGCCAGGCGCTCGTCAGCCCAAAATATGACCAACGCGTATTCTTGCAACGTAGTGACGAGTATTTCAGTCATGATACATACTTAGGTTAATTGTGTTAAATTACCAATATCAATATCAAAATACAAAAATTAAAAAGTCGTTTTGAAATTGAACAATAATGTGTGGCAGTCATTTTGAACCTTTCATGACAAACACGAGCACTTTAGATTGAACCATCAATCATCACGTCTCTATACAAAGTCATGTTCTTTTGTTGTTTAGATTCCTTGTAACTTAATCGATCACTTACCGGCTGTTGAGGGCCCTCTCCTCCCAGAACCCGAAAGCCAAAGCCGGTTTCAATGTCTCTTTTTAGGAAAACGTCAATGTCTTTGGTGTGAGGTTCTGTGGAAAAATTGACAAACATAATAAATAGCTATTGAAAGTCCAAACACAATAAGATGAAGCATCGTCTTACGTCTGCTGTCCAGCAGGGCTTTGGACTTGAGGTATGTCTCCTGGGGGTCTCGTTTGGGGGAGTCTATGGAGCGCAGAGTGCTTGTGTTGGAGTGGTACTGTAAGGCCTGAGGGCCGAAGTCCACCACACTGTCCAGAGTCTCTGTGCTGGCCGTCATCTCCAGTCTCTGTGCACACACACACACACACACACACACACATACACACACATCATTGTAGAGGGGGTAGAAACTTATGTCGCCCCACTTTTCACACAAAGTTCAACGCTGCAAAAAGTGATGAATAAAAAAGGCAACATTTCTCAAATTTGTCAAAAATGAATCTGAATTTGAGCAATTTTGACTGCCTTAGTTATCTTGTTTTGATAAGATACAAGAAATATCTGCCTTGGAATGAGAAAATAAAGCAAAAGTTCTTAAAATCAGAATAAATTGTTTTAAGACAGAATGTCAGAATGTTCTCAAATTAAGATATAAACCTCTAAATTCAAGCAAATATTTCCACATATTCTATATTTTTTGCAGTGTTCCCAAAAAGACTTGCCATCTGGAGTACCCACCATTTTTTGTATATATATATCTTGCTCACTGGGCACCAACATATTTTGGATCAGGTCTCAAGCAGAACTGTTATGGTTCTATTTTAGCGCTAAATCCGTTTATAAATGTACTTTACTGTAAAATCTTCGTATTCTGGGGACTCCAGATGAAAAAGCGTTTTTAACATCTTTTTATAGTCCTTGTCCCATTTTCAAACAAATGAAAGTAAACTGATATAAAAAGCACTTGATAATTAAAGATAGATTGATTGAAAAAGAACTTCTTTGTTATCAGGATTAAACAAAAGAAAATACTTAGGGAGCCACGTGTTACATCAGGCCGAAAATTACATAATTATATATTGATTATAGTGACAATTCAAAGCAATGGATAAAATGTCTTATACATGACGACTGTATGTCTTTTAGAACCACCACAGCCACTTTTATCATACTGCTTACATATGTTACAAATCACAGGGAGCCACACAACGTCAAAACAAGATTAGTCTCTCCAGAAATAAAACAATAAACTTCATGCATTGTTTTCTGTGAGCACGTCTGACGCTGGGCACTCAAAGCCTCTCCGGCTCATTATCCCAAACAAGTGACTGCTGATGTAAAGAAGATAAATGAGGGAAATAATAAAAAGGTCATTTTGCTGTTGACTGTGTTCATTTGGTGCACACTGCATTGTCTGGAGAACTAAGTGATGGAATTCACCCAGGCAATTTAAACTCTATGGGAAAACGAAAGATGTCCCCTTTGGCTGTGACGGACCTATTCAGAATGAAAGCCCAACGTCTTTATCTTAAACTGTTGCATTAATAATAGCACCATATCTTATGCTTCATTACCATGGCGATATCCCCTGACAATAGCCCCCAAGTCCACTGATACTGAATGGAAGTAATTAAGACCGTTTTTCAGCGCCAACAATAGCATGGAACCAGAAACATAATCAATATTCAAATGTTATTTCCTATCATTTAATTTGCAATAGAGCCCAGTTAAGCTGAAGGACCAGACGCTCTGCAATTATACTCCGGGCACAAGTCCCAATACCGCACGCAAATTAAGGAAATACGTGGTTATAATATTCAACTTACTGGCTTTAGACTCTTCACAGGAGAGGTCTGACCTACAGAGAGAGAAAAAACATCAAAGCCAATATGGTCACAAATGCAGATAATGTAAAGCATAAATATAATCATTGCTGCCTTCTCCAGCAGGGGGCACTGCTTCTCTAACAATGATCAGAGTGGAGGGGAGAGATGAGGATGAGGAGAGTCCAGAAGCAAAACCCTACATCCTTTTGCAAATAAACTTACATCGATACTATAGAGATACTTCATGGGACCCTGTGATTTTGATAGTCTGGAGGGCATGTCCACAAAGCCCTGTAGAAAGTCATGCATATAATTCAATACTCTTGCTATTCTCTGTGTAATACACCCACACGTCCATCCTCTCTCGGCTCAGACTGTTTCCACAAACCCCCAACCCCAGCATTAGATTAATAAACAGTCTAGTCCGACTCCTAAGGGGAGAACACTTCGGAATGATGAGGAGGGAACGTCCTTGCTGCAACAAAAGGGAAATTCTAATATTGTTTGATGTCACAGTGTCACGTAGGGATGGGTGATAACGGTATGTATCTTGATTAATATGGCATGATACATATGCTAGAGCTAGATACAGGTGACTTTGGATATGATTCAATAGATTATTCTACTAAACGATACACTACTGCTCAGTAAAAGGCGTTTGGTTGCTTATCTAATGCTCAAAACTGTAACAAAAATACACTGCACTAAGGATGCTTTTATGTTTGATTTACTGAGGATGAATTGTTGTTGAAGTGAAATTATATAAAAAAAAACAGAGATAAAAATTTAGAAGAAAAATATGTATAGAAAGATCATCATTTCCATTTAGTCCCATTGAGATGAAGAACTTCTGGACTAAAAACTAAAATATGTATGCAAAATCTACTTATCAAAGGCATTACTATCTACTTATTAAATGAATGGGACAAAAAAAAAAACATGCAATTCATTTCTGACAAACTATTCTAAATACTTAAGTCCCAAATTGATTTCAGTTCAGTGATGCTGGCTACTCACAGTCCAAATTCACATGCAACTTCTCTTCTGAGCCACTGGGTCTGATCTAATTAGGGTTAAAGCTGGCATTAAGTGTTCAGGACAGGGTAGATGTGAGGTCATGCATTACATCAGATGGTTGTGCAGCTTGCAGTGGACATGAGCACCCACTGTGTGCAAAGTAAGAATCATACACGTAATATAAATGCATGTATATATATCTAATTTACAAAGTCTGTCAGGTGGATACTAATCATGGATGAGGATGTGGTTAGTTTGGAGAGGTTGAAATGGATTAAGAAAAGACTAAGAGAAACAGAAACATTATGCAGAAACTTTTAATTCTACAAAAGCAGTATAGTCAAAGGTGGAAAATTTGCGTTAGTCCACGGTAATATAATCTGAAATCTTTGTTTGTATATATTTTGGACTGTCTCTCAGTAGATGATGTGCTTGGCTCAAACATTGATTTGAACTTGTTCTGTTGTTGTGTCCACTTCTTTTTATTTTTTTAACTCACATTATTGCTATTTTGCGAGTGCTTTCAGTAAAAACACAATTTGCTTATTGCATGGAATTCGAACATTAGTTCCATCGTAACTCCAAATGTGTTTTACTCGCACCCTTACATCACACCATATCAATTCAACTTGCATCCATCTTAAACAACATTGAGGATTCTCCCGGATTGGACGCAGGTAGTCACATATGTACACGCTTAAGTTTTGTCTACGCTTATATGGTTACAATAGTACAAACAGATAAATGGGCTGAGAAATGGGTCTAAGAGGCGGCTTGAAGAAGGAGCCTGACGAGCAAGCCACAATAGGCATTTAGCTGCGGCTGTTACGGTCCATATAGAAGCGAACACAGATCCCGTGTTCTCTGCTGATGATCAAAGCTTAACTGGAGAGTTCATCTGAAGCGGCTGGTCCCTGAGGCTGCAGGAGATGCATGTGGGAGACATTTAAAGGGGGCTTACCCACCTCCCTCGCTGTAGGAAATCAGGCAACCTTGCACTTATGTAATTTCTCCTTTTTTACCATTCACACTGCAGTATTCCTCACACAGGAGCTGTCTCAAGCAGGCTGTGTGTGCGTGTATGTGTGTGTGTGTGTGGGGAGGGGGGGAGTGGAAGTGCATGGTTGGGGGGTACGTGAACCTCGCATTCATAATCTCGACGTCTCAAAAGCTGCTTATACGATCTTTTAGAATGCGATACAAAAATGGCTACGTTTTTTTGGAGTGCAGGTGAATCAATCGGGTGTTTACTGCAGTGACGGACCACAAAGCAAGTGTTGGAGACCGTTCTTGCATAACAAAAAGTGTTCGGTGCGGTCGATCCCTAAATCCCCCAGCGTACCTCCTGCCAGGATCAAGACGCTGACCCCACTGCCCACGAGCACTGCTGAAGTCGTGGTGACAACAAATTACACACGTACAAAAGACATCCAAACACAACATTAAATAGATGAAAAAGAAACAAGAAACAAGGCCTGTCACAGTGTTTACATTCCCGCTGAGAAGTCTTTCTTGTAAGCGCAGTGGTCAGGCGGAGAGATGACGCACTAGCGGATTGCACATTTATCATGATTATTTTCATCTATCTCAGCTACTATATGCAATGGCCCCCGCAACAGAGATTGTTTCACATTGGAACATTAGGTAGATAAATTATGATAAAGTTGGCATGGGAGATTGCCTTGCACAGCTATTACAGAGGATTTCAGTTAAAGCTGGGGTACCTAACTTTAACACACTGTAGATTTCACACATACGTATTGTTTGGCCTCTTTCACTGCTTTGGATCAGCTTTTTTAGACGGAAAAGAGATTCAAGATTCAATATTTTCTACTAAGATGAAGACAGATTTTTATTTTTGTCTGATTTTTCCACAATGCTTTACTTTTACAAATCTCTTTCTGTTTATTATGTATGAGGGTAAATGTATATGTGCTTCTTCATTATGCTAAAATTGGAGATTTGCTTCCTTTCTATGCTTGTCCAGAGATGTTATACTTTCTTCTTTTTTTATAGTAAAGTTTGAGATTTTAATTTGTGTGTACTCCTCATTCCTGCTGTTCTGTAACCGCTGATGCAAAACTGAAATGTCCCTACTGTGAGACAAATAAAGGATCTCTTAATCTTAATCTTAACAGTTAGGTACCCCATCATTATATCGTGGAATCTCAAAACTTCCCGACCCATGCCTTACAGCCCAAAATGTCTCAATTTTTTCATCCCCAAATTTCAAAGTCTATGTTTCCTACTTATACATATTGGAATGGCAGATGCTAGATACAATGAATGCAATCGATTGGAATGATGTGACAGGCCCATATGTACAGAAAGACACACATAGACATATAGGGACAGACATATCGACAGGAGATACGCACAAGATCGTTCACAGTTCCTCACCTCCTCGCAGCACAAGCACATTGACCTCACTGCCCACCGGTAGATCTTTGAGAATGTCCACCACTTGCACATGGCTCAGAGTCTGAACATTTTGCCTGTTGATCTCCTTAATCACATCTCCTTTCTGCAACCCGCGGCACCACTGCGCGTCCAGAATCATCTTCACCTTCTGACCCAGTGGGCAGTCTGCTATAGCGAAACCGAACCCCCCGGGCCCCTTGATCAACGGGACACTGACCAACTCCGGCTGTAGCATCCCTGCATTGTCTCCGTGACGGCCGTTGGACAGGGCGGCAACCATGGGCCGACCGCTGGCATCCGTGGTGACGTAGTGGAGCTCTTGGGAGGATCCGTGCAGGACGTCCCCCTTGACCAGCAGAGGTTGTCCGTTTATGAGCGGGACGGCCGTGACCACCTCTCCCCCGTGGAGGGTGGTGGTGGTGGGCTGGGGCTGGGACTGGGTGGATGAGGGCGGAGGGGGAGGCGGTGGGAGAGGGTCGTCGCTGGTTAAGTCTACGTCCGGAGGGAGAGGGTAGCCCCGGCAGAGAACCATGTCCACGTACTGGTTGATGGGGATGGACTGGAACATCTGCACCACTTCTGGGTGGGTTTTCCCCAGCACGCCCAGTCCATTGATTTCTACAATCACGTCACCTGAAATTGAACAAAGAAAGAAATGTAGAAGGTTTTAAAGACATTATGGGTCTGTAACTGCATGTGAAAGCCAGATCCAGTCAGACTTCTGAAGCTAAGCAGGGCAGGGCCTGGTTAGTCATTTGATGGGAGACCTATGGGGAAACCAGGTGCCACAGTGAGGAGGATCCGGCTGTAAAGTGCTAAACTGTTGTTGCGGCCTTGGGTAAGACACTTCACCCACATTGCCTAGAACAAATCTGGTGTGTGCAAAAGCGGTTGGTGGTGGTCGGAGGGGCTGATGGCACATACTGATTGCCTCACTTTTGTCAATGTGCCCCAGGGCAGCTGTGTTTACTAGAGTAATTTATTGTGGTGATGAAGTACTCTTACAGCAACTGTTTGAATGGAGAATTATGATCTGTATAATGATTATCTGTTGTATTATAATAACCTGTGATAAATTCGAGTACAGAACTTTTTGTTTCACACAATTTGACACAATACGTCAGGTGATGTGTATTGACAGTAGGAAGAAGCAGGATTCTAGAGAAAGCGTAATAAAATGTACATACTTCTCAATATTATCTTATGTAAGAAATGTAGGCTTTTAATTAAGACAAATTAGATAATCCTCCCTGTTTGCAATGAGACTTGTCCATGGCTCAAGTTTGAGAAAGAAGTTTTCGAATATCTCTTAAGATGAAGATGCATGTTGTGGCCTGATTTGTTCACAAGCATTTACTTCCTCAACTCTTTTTTTATGCAACAAATAAAAGCTATTTTCAGGACGGGTGGAGGGTGAGGGGTCATTCAAACATGCAAATATAAGTTCCATCACTCACACAACTCCTGCAAAGAAAATAAGTCAGCTTCACTGTCTTTTTGGTTGGATGCATTATTGTAATAATGTACGTATACCCAAGAACCCGAAGAATTTTTTTTCCACAAACATTGTTATGTCTGGCTTCTTCTCCTTCCGGGTCAAGGCGGATTGTAAGGTTCCTTGTCAAACAGGGCATGCAGGACTTCTACTCTATAATCTTGCCCAGTATTTTCTATAGTGGATGCTGCTGTCATTTCTATCTGTTTGTTATTGTCAACTATAGACAGGGAACAGCCCAGAAGCACAGCAGTTCCACAGATGCTCTGTCAAATCATTCAGTCAATAATGTCTCTTGTCAGCCTTTCTTTCCCGTTCCCCCTGATTTTCCCCTCTCAGTCTGGGGTGCACATCTTTGAGAGCCAAGATCTGCATAAACATTCTGCTTCCTTCTTGGGTTTGAGACACATGGCACAATCATGACAACGACGACTATGTTTAAAACAACAAACTATCCATCTATCTATCTATCTATCTATCATATCAATCATATCTATCATATCTATCTATCAATCCTCTGTGTATTTGTACTAGCACATCAACACACAACTAACATATTACCAGATATTAAAACCTTAATCAAAGTCCACTTTTGAATTGTTTGCCTCAGTCCTGCATGGCGTGGCCCCGGTCCTCATTCTACAGCCTGAGTCCATGGCAGGGGATCCCTCCATCAATAAGGGTCTTCCTGAGGTTTCTCCTTTTCTCTCACCGGGTTTTTATGTGAATCGACCCAGGACATTAGCTCTAAACTAATAAATGAATGAATGAAGCCTTTATTACGGACTCAGGGACTCAGGGTTAGCGTTTGGGTTAGGTTTACCAAAACCCTAACCCTAAGACCAGAAGTGATACTTTTGTATGGTTACCGTATACCAGGAAAGATCTTTCAGCTTTCCTCCACTATAAGGCTCTTTGGAATGTTGTGATGTCACATAAACCCAACCGATTGATAATGCTCCTTTTCATCAAGGAGGATAGATATAAACCAACATTTCTTAAATATCTTAATTTATCTTACCAGACGCCATCTTGCTGTCGACTGCAGCCGGTCCGTCACAGAGCACGTTCTTCACCTGCAGGAACTCGTCAGTCCGATCTCCTCCGATGATGGTGAAGCCAAATCCCTGGGAGCTCTTCTTCAAAGCAGTGTGGTACATCTCTCCTTTCAGCTCACTGGGGTCTGATGTGAAGCCTGCGGACCCTCCCTTACCTACGGAGAAACAGCATCCATCAACACAAAGCTATTTATAGTTTAATGGGATATTTTATTTTAACCAGTATTTTCATTGTTTTTTAAACATAATCCCTTTATACATACAGACGAATGGAAAAAAGACAAGACAAATTGAATATATTTCATTTTATTTTAGCTGTATTTTTTTAATTGCCACTTGACTTGAGTGTAAAAGAAAGCTCTCATAAGTATGACTAATCTAGCTGGAAGACTTCAATCACATTCAAAAACTAATAAAATATAATTCTGTAGTCGTTTATTAAACGTTTGAATCAAGAGTTTAGTGTGCGGCAACAGACGATAAGAACGATCGTGTGAAGGTCCTTCTTTCATATAGTGATGATGTAATGCCTTTGTGGCCAAACAATGTCCTCAGTGCAGACTTTCATAAGTTGAGGAGGGAGTGGCGTAAGGTCAGTGGCAGCCTCAATATGGACCAGTAGTGGCATTACAGCAGATAACTGCTGCTCAGGGTCACATAGCATTAAACTGAGCTGCCACAGTCCTGTGGTATCAGCACTTTGGATCATGGACACATCATTTTTCCTGCAGCATTATAGTCTGGGGCCAGGACAGCAATAGCTTAGACTTAAAAAATAGACCTGACAATAACAAATGGAGCGCATTCAGCCTATGAGCCATTATTCACCAAATGTAATGCGGCTCTTGGAAAAGCTGTAGTTGATGATGGATATTAAGGTATAATGTGTAATGTATGTATCATCATACACCATACATTTCATACTCAGTGGTACACAATGTCCCTGTAATTCTTTATCGTACCTATGCTGTTACAAACACAAAATAGTGTTTCAGAAGAAAAAACATAAAATAATTAAAGTATGTAAGTAAGTATTAAGTTGTGATCAGCCAAAAGAATTCAGTGAGAGCGAGTCTGAAAGGTCAGGAGACACATGCAGCGCCTGCAGTTCTTTGATGTTCCACATGAAACGTGTGGAGAGATTGGAAACACATCAGTGATTCACAAATCAAAAACCTCATACTCTCCTCTGGGTTTTCTCTTTGATATTGTATATTCCCAACACAACAACATTCAGCTTGGCCAAGAAACCAGTGGGTAGGTGGAAACCTGAAGTTTACACATGTAAACAACATTCTCATTTAGTTGTCATGGTTTTAGTTCAGTTATTTTTACCAACATTATTTCTTTTGATTTAATGTCACAATATTTTGAGAGATTAAGTCATTATGTTACTTTCTGTAAAGTAAGAAGTTTAACTTCCAACGGTAAGGAGATAAAAAAAAAAACTTTTTGTACATAGTGTATGGTTTCGATGGTTATAAAATGTGACATTTTTTAAGTTAATCAAAAATGCAGTGTGTCATTATTCTGGTGGAGGATCCAACACCTGTCGCCATGGAGACAGAAAGTGGGGAAACAACAGAATCAACAGAGAGAGAACTTCCCTCCTGTCCCACACATGGGACACCCTCCTCCAGAGACCACTGGGCGAGAGGGGCGTAGTCAGTCTGAGCGACCTGCCGTCAATCAGACCGTCCATGCTGACCAGCTGATAAATGACATGTCCCCACGGCTGGAGACAGTTCTGAAGATGCTCTGCAGCCGAAACATATTAACAGTGTAATAAATCTAACTTGTCTTTAACAGTATTACTTCTCCTGTAATATCTTTTTAACAGAACAATGGGCCTCATTCACAAACCGTTCTTAGGAACAAATTTGTACGTAAATCCTACTTACGAGGATTTTACGAAGATTGTGGCATTCATGAATTTTTCTCGTATCCAGAATTTCTCTTGGGTACGTACATTCTCAGGAGCACTCTTAAGCACATTCAGTGCCGACATGTTCGCACGCTGGTGTGGTCCTCTTTTGTGAAGTTCAATCAAATACATCATTACAGTGATATGTATGTATTTATTCATTTCATGTTTTGTGGTAAGTTAGCCTATTTTTTAATTCATTTTTAAATTAAATGTGCCAACGCTTGAATACATTGGAAATCATGCCGCCTGTTAGTGACCCCATCCTAGGGTAATTTTTCCATCCACGGGCCACAGATCAATGGCATATATACTGCTGCTGCAGGAGGTTGCAGGGTCTGCGATAGTCTCCGTGCTGGTCTCTCCCATGGATCTATTTCGGATCCGTGCTGGTCTCTACCATGGATCTATACGGGTCCGCCCTGGTCTCTCCAGTCTATGGTCTCTCCATTCTATGGTCTCTCCAGTCTATGGTCTCTCCTCGGGTCTGCATTTGGTCTCAGCGCTGGTCCGCGCTAGATCTCCTCCCAGGGTCTGAAATATTTTGAGATTAATCTCATAATATTTTGAGATTAATATTTAAATTAGTACATCATATTTTGAGATTAATATTAAAATTAGTACATAACATATTAAAATTAATCTCAAAATAATTTTAGATTAAGCTAATAATTTTGCTAGTTCGACTTTGTTCTCATAATATTTCGACTTTAAAGTCAACATTGTAATCTCAGTCTGGCAAAAGAAGAAAAAAGGGTGACTCTTTTGCTCCGTGTAACCGTGTATAGATCCATGCGTGTAACTCTTTGCTTTAGGCATGTTTCTGTTTCCTCTGGCGTCTGCACACGGCCCTTTTATGGGCATTTATGGGCGGTTACCTATGCTAAGTACCTATGCTAATGAATCACCTGGCACGCGCACTCTACTTACGAGGAGTTGGCATTCATCAATCTAAGAGAACAGCTGCGAACAATTCAGCGGTTTACGAACGCGTTGATGAATCCCACATAGAAATCTACTTAAGAACGACTTGAGAAGGATTTTAGGAAGATTCTTAAGAAGATTTTGGTGAATGAGGCCGGATGACTGTTGTAGTGTCCAGGTGTCCACCCATAGCTCCAACATTTCTATACTGTAATCATATTCAAATTACAGACCTATCGGTGGCTGCACCCTGTGCTCCGTGCGAGACTAAAGGCAGCTTATCATCCAGTGACAGTTTGTGAAGCAGACAGAGATGTGCGTGCGAGGGTGTGTGTGAGTATGTGTGTGCGTGCGTGTGCATGTTTGTGTGTTTGGAGTAGGAGCAGAGTTTGGACACATATTGGTGGTCCCAAAATGATTCCTTAACTTGCAAGGCATCTACCATGTCATTGTATGTATTTTATCCATCCAAAACATAATTGGTAATAGATAAATAAATAAAAAAAACTAATTACTGCATCACAAACAAGGCATTGAAGGTAAATTCTAATCACATATTGAAAAGTGGCTTTTTATGTAAAGATAAAATGTTGTAGTCTGAGGAGCAGCTCCAAAGTGGGAGTGCTTGAGTGTTCAGCGTTGCCAAAGTGCAGTAGGTGTAATCTGTAATCAGGCCGGTCCCACCTGAGGAGACTGATTTTGCTCTGGCTCTGAGGCCTGTTCCACCATCTGTTCCCGTCCTCCCAACATCACTACCTCCATTTTACATCTGAGAACATGCCACATCTGTATCATAACAGACACAGTTTTACCTATTTTTAATCTCATGATTGTCAATAAATAAATTACTATGCTGAAAAGGTTTCAGTAGTGGTCCACTGCCACTTATTTATTATATTATAGAAGAAAGCGTCTGAATGTCCTGTGAGGCAACATATCTACTACATGTTGTTTGGATGGTCAGAAAGTTAACAGAAGCAGTTCCAATCAAAACATGTCCATTTTAAATTTAATATTTCAAATTTTTCCTTTATTTGTTCCACAGTGGGGAAATGTCAGTGTTGCATCACCGGTTACAAAACAGTAGGAATAATTTGCAGACTGTTACCTTAACTCCTTACCTCCACATGCAGTTCTTACCTTGGGATGACGCTGCTCTGGCCTTTTTGAGCGTCGCCTGGTTCAGCTTCTTTTTTGCCTCCAGGACTGGATTCTCAAACTGGGTTTTCTGGTTAATGTGACTGCAACATAAATGTGTATTCAAGATACAGAAAGTATTACAAATCACAAATAAAAGTACTGGAAAACATTCAACACGTTTGCACACTGCTTCTTGTGAGCTAAGCAGTACCGGCCCGACAAAGCACCATCATGAGCAGTTTAGTTTTCTTAGTCTTTTAACGTTAGTGTTTCAGTATGTTTCTTGTTTATTGTTTATCACTGTTCTTTTTAAGTTGGCTGCTGACCCTCCAGAAAGCACCTTCCTCTCTCTTGTCCTCCTGGTCCAGTATAGAGCTCTAAGCAGAGTAAAGCAGTGCGTCGGCTTCCCTCACATCACATAGATTGTGCGCCTCATGGCCCCCTACGGCCCCCTACAGCAATATACACAATGCACAGCTGAAAATCTCTCCAGGTGTTGAAATGGTGGTTTCATCAATTTCCTAGATGACTCTGTGTTTGAAAGCATGTTTTGTTCAAACAAACAATATTCACAGTTTGTGCTCATTCCTGTTCTCAAATAAAAGCCAAGACAAAATGTCTCACAGAGATTTATGTTCACCACCTGTGATGAACATTGGGGAAATCCTAATCGAAATTTGTAGGTTAATGCTTCCTCCCCATGTCTTACATAATTCAAAGCCTCTAACAGAAGAAAATTATCTTTACGCAGGATCCATTTGTTTATTTTTAGATATTGATTTATGCTGGTTTGCAGCTAACACGCACTAAGCACTCCACTCTACAGCCGAACCCCACTCGAGCATAGTCTAAAAGCACTTGAGTGCTGTGTGCATGATGATATGTGCCCAGTTTTTGATCACGTGCAAATTAATAAATCAATACAACTTACTCAACATAATATGTGCCGTACTGAGGGTCATCTATTTCCTCCCATCCATAAGGTAATTCTGAAACGACAACAAAGAAGAGCTTGCAATATTGTGTACAAAGAGGTAACAGATTTGTGACCAAACTAAGGGCAATAGCTGTACTTTGAAGAGGCTCAATGGGCTTTAGGCTAGTTTCTGAATATGTGAAGCAGTGAAAGAGGAAACGGAAAAGAGCTCTTTATGCACTAGAGATTTTTGGAGTTGCTCTTCAGAAGGAATACTGCCACTAACTTTCCGTTTTCCTGTAAAAATCCATTAAAACAAGATGATAGAAGCTGCAGCTACTCTGTAGATGTGCCTGCACTTAAGTCACATTAGCATCCTGGGGATAAAAAGGCATGGCTGGTCCCCACAGAAGACTTGCTGGAGAGTTCAGAAAAATGAGGCCATGTGACTGGGAAGTACAGGGTTGGTTTAAGGTCGCTGTGGAAGGCTGTTCTAATTCATTCTGGCGAGGGATATGTGAAAATGTGTAAATTGATGGATTATGTAACGTGCCACACACAGAGGAATGACCTTGTGTAAATGCTTGTAGCCACACAGTGCTAATGGAATCTGTACATGCTTGAATGGATCATCAGCATACCTCCGTCTTCACACTTTTCTGCTGGCTTTGCCTTCTTGGCCAGGCGCGGGTCGAGCCATGTTGTGGTTTTTGTGTTGTGACTGAAACACACAGGAGTGGTGTAAACAGCAACATACAGAACAAACTACGGCTAAATGCAATTATGTTTACCACTAGCAGCATATCCAGGAGTTTAAATGCAATGCTTGTTTATGGTTAGGTGGCCTTTTCCAAAAGAGAAAATCTTCTGAATGTGAAATATGACAAACTCATTTAGTCTCAAATGAGTTAATAAGTGGAGTGTGTAATCAGCAGGAAAATCACAATGTCCCTCGGAAATCTACAGAGACAACTGGCTCAGGGCCAAATGTGAATAATACTGTGTAAAGTCACAAATGTGTGAACATGGGTTTGGCCATCCACAATGTAGATATGTGTTTTGTTTTCATAACTTCAGGTTAAGAAGACTGATTCATCCAAAGGAAATAGATGTAAGATTAATTTCTTAAACATACACTTATTAATGATTTGATTTAAAGACACTGGGGTTTACGTTCATCAAAGAATCACTGTTAAGTTAACGGTAAAAGGACAGGTATTTGTGTCAGTGGATGTTGGTATGATGATGATGATTCAGATAAGATTAAGAGATCCTCTATTCGTCCCACAGTGGGGAAATTTCAGTGTTGCATCACGAGTTATAGAACAGTAGGAAAGAGGAGCACACGGCACAAGTTAAGTGAACAATAGCTATACTAATTAAAATAAAACAAAATCTCTAACTCTAGCATCAATCTATATCTTGAAAATAATAAAAAGAAGTGTAAAAGTTTTATATTTGGCAATAAGTATAAAGTATTGTGTATTCTAGTGCAAGCAAAGTGTAGTTCTATCATAGCATATGTACATTTGCAGCAGTATGTTTACATCTGTACATGTGCAGCAGTATGTTTACATCTGTACATTAGCAGCAGTATGTTTACATCTGTACATGTTAGCAGCAGTATGTTTACATCTGTACATTGGCAGCAGTATGTTTACAACTGTACATTAGCAGCAGTATGTTTACATCTGTACACTTTAGCAGCAGTATGTTTACATCTGTACATTAGCAGCAGTATGTTTACATCTGTACATTAGCAGCAATATGTTTACATCTGTAAATTAGCAGCAGTATGTTTACATCTGTACATTAGCAGCAGTATGTTTACATCTGTACACTTTAGCAGCAGTATGTTTACATCTGTACATTGGCAGCAGTATGTTTACATCTGTACATTAGCAGCAGTATGTTTACATCTGTACATTAGCAGCAGTATCTTGACATCTGTACATTTTAGCAGCGGTATGTTTGCATCTGTACATTGGCAGCAGTATGTTTACATCTGTACATTAGCAGCAGTATGTTTACATCTGTACATTAGCAGCAATATGTTTACATCTGTAAATTAGCAGCAGTATGTTTACATCTGTACATTAGCAGCAGTATGTTTACATCTGTACACTTTAGCAGCAGTATGTTTACATCTGTACATTAGCAGCAGTATCTTTACATCTGTACATTTTAGCAGCAGTATGTTTACATCTGCACCATAGCAGCAGTATGTTTACATCTGTACATTAGCAGCAGTATGTTTACATCTGTACCTTAGCAGCAGTATCTTTACATCTGTACATGTTAGCAGCAGTATGTTTACATCTGTACATGTTAGCAGCAGTATGTTTACATCTGTACATTAGCAGCAGTATGTTTACATCTGTACATTAGCAGCAGTATGTTTACATCTGTACATTAGCAGCAGTATGTTTACAACTGTACATTAGCAGCAATATGTTTACATCTGTAAATTAGCAGCAGTATGTTTACATCTGTACATTAGCAGCAGTATGTTTACATCTGTACACTTTAGCAGCAGTATGTTTACATCTGTACATTGGCAGCAGTATGTTTACATCTGTACATTAGCAGCAGTATGTTTACATCTGTACATTAGCAGCAGTATCTTTACATCTGTACATTTTAGCAGCGGTATGTTTGCATCTGTACATTGGCAGCAGTATGTTTACATCTGTACATTAGCAGCAGTATGTTTACATCTGTACATTAGCAGCAATATGTTTACATCTGTAAATTAGCAGCAGTGTGTTTACATCTGTACATTAGCAGCAGTATGTTTACATCTGTACACTTTAGCAGCAGTATGTTTACATCTGTACATTGGCAGCAGTATGTTTACATCTGTACATGTTAGCAGCAGTATATTTACATCTGTACCTTGGCAGCAGTATATTGTACATTCTGATATAAGTTAAGGATATTGTAACGATGCATGACACGTGGATCAAGTTGGCAGTGTTCATTAGTCCTTATTGTTTGTTGTACAGTCTGACAGCAGCAGGAAGGAAAGACCTGCGGAACCTCTCCTTCACACGTCAAGGATGAACAAGTCTCTCACTGAAGCTGCTCTCCAGTATTCCATGTAAAAATAGCCTGTGTGGCCTGAGCTGCAACATGGCCAAGTTGGGTTTCCTCCTTGTCTCCATGGAAATAACATGAAACATTGTGATGTCATCTGTGTTTATTTATTTTTATTTTTTCCCTTTTATATTGATGTGTTAATATTGTATAGCATCGTAATGTGTTTCTTTTTATCTTGTGTTGTATTGTACCGGCTTGGAATAAACTAAACTAAACTGTATTGACTCACCTGATAAGTTACAAAGTAAATCTTTTTGTTTTAAATGTGATATTGAATTGACATTATTATTATCAATCGTTTGTTTTTGATGTCACTCAAATATATATATAAAAAATATATATATTAAAAAATGACTTCTGTTTCCAATACATATAATGGGGTTGTCATTATCAGATGAAATCCTCTTCCCGACACTTTGACAGAGGCACTTACTCTATGAAGTAGACCATGCCAGTTTCGGTGTAAGCCATTTCCCAGTTGTACGGCAGCGGCTCCAGGCTGTCATCGCGGGGCAGAGAGCTCCATGTCCTGAAGTCCATGTTCCCACTCGACTGGTTGTAACTGGGCACTGGTTTCCTCCAGTCTGATGCATCTTTGAGCTCTGAACACAAGGAGAAAAGAAAGAGACAGCTCTCAAATCACTGTGCTGAAAATGTATCTGTGACGTGACTCTAAAGATATATATTTTATTAATAAGATACATCCATCCATTTTCTTCTGCTTTATCCGTTGTCGAGACGCGGGGGCAGCAGAGACCAAGCAGAGATGCTCAGATTTCCCTGTCTACAGACACCTCCTCCAGCTCATCTGGGGGAATCCGAAGTATTCCCAAGACAGCTGAGAAACAGTCCCTCACATGTGTCCGGAGTCTTCCCCGGGGTCTCCCCCAGGTGGGACATGCCCGGAACACTTCTCCAGAGAAGCGAAACAGATGTCTGCGCCACCTCAACTGGTTCCTCTCAACGTGGAGAAGCAGCGGCTCTACTCCAAGCTCCTTCCGTGTGACTGAGCTCCTCACTCAATCTCTAAGGAAGAGCCCAGCCACTCTGCGGAGGAATCTCATTTCAACTCGCAATTTTGTCCTTTCACTCATTACCCAAAGCTCATGACCAGAGGTGAGGGTGAGAACTTAGATCGGCCGCTAATATTTCATAATATTAAAAACTGTTAAAAATACCAAATGGCACTGTTGATATGTGATACTTTCTACCTATTGCCTTAAACAACTATGAAACACATTGCATGTTCTTTGCAGCATTAAAGGTGACTCCCATTAGAGCAGCCGTGGATCCTGAGGCACTTTCACAACTGCACTTTCATTACTGTCACCATTCCTTTACTGTTGTTGCCCTTTTTCAGGCAGAAGAATAATGAGCTGCACATTGATACACAAAAAAATGCCTGCACCGTCTACTGTGTGGAAGACGACGGTAATAAAACAATGTCCTCTTTGATCTGTCTGTTTAAAGTAGAGTGCACTTTTCCACAAAATAATATGGTGCAAAGAAAACATTGCATTTCTTTCAATGTTTTGAATTGAACTGATTTGTGGCGAGCTAGCCAGGAGGTCTGACTCCCTGGGTATCACAAGGCCATATTAGTATAAATGTGTGCTAAAATGTGACATAGATTAAGAATTAGATTTCCTTGATCAGTTCAGAGCTATTATGCTTAATGCGCCATGACAGATTTGGGTTGCCAGATACAGTAGTTTGCTAAGATTTAGCTGGTCATTCTAATAAAGCAATTCACAAACCAAAAATTAAAGCAGGTACAAAAATAAGTATTCATATGTGATACAGAGTTTGTACTGTTCCAAGCTGGTGGATTCCATCAGAAATCAGTGATTAGAAGCATGATATCTAGTTTATTGATATTTAATCTTTAAGTCAGACATGCAAAAACGTCCATTTAAAACAAAAAACAAAAACAGACAACAAAAATAGCAACAAAAAGCACACAAACAAACAATGTTCACACAATTCTGTGTAGACAGTTCCTCGTCTGGAGGCATTAGCTTTTTTGGACCAGAACTATTTGTTGAATTAAAAATTGATTGTTAAGCCAAATTTGTCCACAACTGATAAAAACTGATAACGCAGACTACTGTATTGAAAACTTATATTATTGGATGTCCATCTTAGAAGCGCAGGCTTGATTATCGGCTGGCAGGGAGTTGATGAAGCTGATGTGAGGCTGAGGAAGGCGTGGGTCAGCCTGGTGGGATGGCGTAGGTAGTCGACCTATTTGAACTTCAGCTTAAGCTTCATTATCTTTGAAAGTATAAGTGTATTGGACTCAGAAATATGTTGATGCAGTATGAGTAGATAGCCCCAGACAAATTTCTCACAATTATAAAGTTGACTGCAACAATTATATAAATATTACAGCTTTATCAAACAATTCCATATTTTCAAGATCATTTATAAGGTTTGAATACTCCATTTTTAGTCATTGTAGAGTAATATGCAGTCCGGCAACATTGGAAAAAGAAGGTTCTCCTGTCTGACCTTGTCCTGAAGTGGCTACAGAAGAATATATTACATGTGAATTGCGCAGAAAAGCTGATTGTGTGTACAGTAAGCACACTTGTGGTCGCTGGAGGGAGAGTCTGAAGTGAAGCTGGGGTCAGAGGGCTGGTTCACGGTGGGGTCGAAACTGAGAGACATCCAGGGCGACCACACAATTCACAAAACACTGAGAGACATCGAGGGCGAGCACACACTATTCAAACCACAGAAAAAAATCCATTTCCCATTAGCTGCCATTTTTACTGGACCAGAGCTCGGAACCATCTATGGCTGTGCTGGACGGCCTCTGCCACAGCTGCTCCGGACAATCATTTGTGTCCATAAAAAGTGCGCCTGGACGTCTAGCCAGTGTTTTGTGTTGAATTTCAATGTGACAAAGCCGTTGAGTAAACAGACGGCGGATTTTTTTATGAAGCTTCTCTGCAGCTGAGCAAGCAGCGTTGGGCCATGACTGTCAAGGGAATGTTTTATTCACCAAAAAAAAAAAAAAACATACTCTGATGTCAGACCATTTTGTGTGAGGAGAAGTCGCCTAAAAAAATTTGGTTCAGAGACAGATGAAAGTAACATATTGTGTGACATTAGCGTAACATGTTGGTTATGAAGATACATAATGTTCTGACGGAAAATCTACAAACTAAAAAGAGATTATGTTCAAATGAATTGCTGAGTTACAAAGCGGCAAAGTGGTTTAGAATCATTATGTTTTCTGAACATATATTTATGTACGGTAATAACAGTTTTAGAGAAAACAAAAACGCAATAAAATGGAGAAGAATGACAGCAATACGATAAGAATTTTACAAAACCTAGTCTCCATAGAACTATAAATATACAAATTGTCTCCAAAATATGGGACAATTTGTATATTTATATATTTACTACATATATTTGTATAAAGTAATAGATATGTTCATGCTATACCTGATTTGGATTTTAATTGAGGTATTATAGCATAAGCCTTTAGATTATTTACATACCAAATTTAAATCCAAAGAAGCAGAATTGTGACATGAATCCAGGACACAAAAGATTCCATATATTTTTTATGTATTCTTTTTTCTCTTATTGATTATAGCCGTCCCCTATCAGCACAGCGGTATGGTGGCACAGTGGCTATAGAACTTCAGTTTCTCGGCAAGAATGGAACCCAGGGTTTGATTTCACCTTCAGACACGTACAATCGCTTCCCTTGCCATTGGGATACGTTTCCTCTGAAAAAAAAAATATATATATATATATATATAAATATATATATATAAATATATAAAATTTTTATGGTTAAATAAAGGTCAATATATATCTCTAATAAAAGGTCAGGGCTCCATCTTTAGTTGCTTTCAAATCAAATTATTGACAAAAAGTGAAGGGTTCCCAACACTGTAATACTTCAAAATGATTCCAAGCACCCCCTGTCCTTGCATACTGCTGGGATGGCATATCCCCCACTCATTTACTGTTCTCAATGATCTACGGAAACAGAGTTTTCTGTGGTTTGTCATGTCATCATCATGTCATGTCATGTCATTTTCTACCCGTTTATTATTCTATTTATGGGTCGGGGGGTTGGCAATCAGAGCTGCCACCCATAGCACCAGTCCCTCCCTGATCCTCCTGCAGGTGGTGGGTCCACAGGAAGATGCCTGCTCTGTCACCGACGAGATGATCTTGGTCTTTCAGCGGGGGCTTCAGGCAATTTGGGGTTAAGTGTCTTGCCCAAGGACACAACGACAGCAGACATGAGTGGGAGCAGGTGACATGACCAATGCTCTACCAACTGAGCCACTGTCGCCCCTTGTGTGGTTTGATTAAAGTAAAAAGTACATGATAAGAAAAAGGCATTGCATGATGTTAATGTAGAGTAGAAAGGCCCAACAGGGACTGGAGTTGAGACTTAGCAATACTGTAGCTATAAATACTTTTTGCATCACATCAGTTACAAGCTTGTTTTGTTCTATGTTGACTTGCTATGTCCCTGTCAAATAAAGGATTAAAAATAAAAAGAGACCTCTGCAAGCCGCTCCTCGACTCTGCATCAGTCTCTGAAGCACAAAAGGATTCAACCAAGTTTTATCTCATGGGGAAAGTCTCTCATTGGCCACACACCTCCACAACGGATCACACCAAAAAGGGTAACTCAAGGAAGGAAGGAAAGGCAGAGATCCACATAAGGGAAAGAATCACATCAAAAGAGGAGGTCAATCACTGTCTTTGCTATTTCATCCTAACCTTTGTCCATAAAAAAAAGATCCCCCTAAACCCTTTATTAACCATTAAAATTTCTCACTATGCCTTAAATGGCTTCCGCAACCATTTGGTAGATCTCCTTTTGAGTCACAATATTGAAATCTACCTTATCGAGGCATCTCACTTGGTTTTAGGCACTTTTACCATCAAACTGCATCTCAAATAATGATAATGTTTTATGTGGTGTTTTTGTTTTATGTTGTGTTCTTCTTGAATATTGATGTGTTTGTTTGTTTTGTTGCCTTCAATGAATGAAATATAAACTAGGAATTAAAAAACAAAACAAAAAAACATAAAAACCAATAGAATTTGTTTTGTTTCTGCATCTTAGAAAATTCAAAATAGAAAAAAGTGACATTGCTCTCTGAGTGACGTTGAAGGGTGCGCAAGATTATTTTTTTGTTTTCATCTCAATGGCCAGAGTAAAAACCAGCACAGAACATAAGGGCAAAGTGAACAAACTGAGGTGGTGCGTGTGATTTACTGACCGGGCAGACCGTTGAGCAGCGGAGGGCGGTCATCGTCGTCGTCCTCCTCTGGGACCGCACTGTCTTTTCGGTCCATCTTACTGACCGACGTGGTGCGTTTTCTGGGCATGTCGCTGACAAAGTCCTCATCGAACAGAACCTGGTCCACCAAGTCCGGCTGCACCAGGTTGGGTTCAGCTGGAGGCTTCGGAGTCCCATAGTAGTTACCTAACAGCAAAGGAATTACATATAAGGTTAAATAAGACAAATAATCCAAGCTTTTGGCTCTACAGTCATGATATTTGTATGGTCCTTGTGGATAAAACTGTAAATATTTGAGTAATCCTTTGTTGTCC